AATCTGTTTCCTACCAGCCTGTAGGTTACTGATGCATCTGGCTTTACATGGGCACACGGGACCTGAACTCAGGTGCTCATGCTTCTGTGGCAGGCACTGAGCCATCACCCTAGCCCCGCTGCATCTCCAGCTCCAATCTTCTTTGTTTTGCTCTGTTGTTGTTTTTCAAGACCTAGTTTCTCTGTGTAGCCCTGGCTGTTCTGGAACTTGCTCTATAGAGCAGGCTGGCCTCGAACCAACAGAGCCATCTCTTTAGACCTTGTAATCACTTCTCAGAGAAAAGACTAAGGCACAGTGTTTCTAGTGTTTCTGCTTCCTATGTTTATATTGTAATGACATTCACTTCCCTAAAGAGTACACTGAGCTGCCAGGCGTTGGTGGCGCACGCCTTTAATCCCAGCACTCGGGAGGCAGAGGCAGGTACATCTCTGTGAGTTCCAGGCCAGCCCGGTCTCCAGAGTGAGTGCCAGGATAGGCTCCAAAGCTACACAGAGAAACCCCGTCTCGAAAAAACAAAAAACAAAAAACAAAAAACAAAACAAAACAAAAAAGAGTACAATGAGCTATCTAGAGGACATGGTACTATAGTTTACGAAGCAAAAAGCTAAACACTTCAGTAATAAATAGTTAGAATTCTTTTAGTATGGCAAATGAAAACAGCTCCTTTGCAGACAAGTGTTTTCTGAGCAGGGTAGGGTGGCACATGCCTGAAATCCCAACACTCTAGAGGCTGGGTCATAGGGTTGCCATGAGTTTAAAGTCACCTGGGATACACTAATAAGTGTGTGTGTGTGTGTGTGTGTGTGTGTGTGTGTGTGTGTGTAAAGGTATTTTCAGTTGTTTGTTTAGGAAATGTTCATGGAGCCTTTTTAATAAATATAATTGAGAGCTGATAAAATAAAAAATTTTGTCACTAAGAATCTCAACAGTGAAAATGGGAACTAATCATAAGAATTCTGAAAATGGGCCCTCAACATGGCTCATCGAGGTGCTTGCTACCAAATCTGATACCCCCCGTGGTAGGAGGAGAGAAGTGATTGCTGATGCTGCCCTCTGACCTCCACATGTGTGCAGTGGTACACTGAGGGTACACGCATGCACACACGCATGCACACACGCATGCACACACACAGTACGTAAATGTAATAAAAACTTGGTTGGGGATTTACGGGGCTGAGGGGGTGGCTCAGACAAGCACGGTGATCTGAGCCTGATCTCCTGCTCCCAAGCTAAAAAATAAACTGGACTTGCTGATGAACACTTTGTAATCCTACTGCAGGGAAGGCGGCATCCCGGCCAACTAGCCTAGAATAATTAATCAGTGAGCCCCAGGTCCCAGTCAGAGCTCCTGTCTCAACAATAGCGTGGACGGCTCCCGAGGAACACACACAAAGAAAATATGATCTAATTATATATAAGAAGCTTTTGATACACGATTCATTGTTCTATGTTGGTGTGTGGGAGACTGAACCCAGGGCTTCACATTTGCTAGCAAGAGCTCAACTACTAAAATATATCCCAAGTCCCACAAACATCTATTAATTTCTTTTAAATGCTGTTAAAATGTATTCTTTGAGAATTCCATACACGTGGTTGATCATATTAATTCCTCACTATTCTTTTTGATCCCCACTCCGTTTGGACCATTTCCTCCTTCCAATAACACCCCGTCTTATGTTTGCGCCCCCTCTCGCTTTAAACTCAGTTTAATTAGGGTTGCTTACAGGAACATGCGTGTGGAGTTACTAGAGCACAGGCAAGGCAGCAGTGACCACATCAGAGGCTGACCCTCTCTCCTCCACAAGCTGTCAACTGCCCATAGCTAGAGGTGGGAAAGTATTTTTTTTTTTTGTATTGTTGATATTTGCTTTAGTCTGTTTTTCTGTAGCTATAATAAAGTATCTGAGGCTGGGTTCTTTACCAAAAAAAAAAAAAAGGGGGGGGATTACTTAGGTAGCAGTTCTAGAAGAGCAAGACCCCAGCACTGGTATTGGTTTGCTTCTTGTGAGGGTTTCAAGGCAGTAGGAAAGCAGTGGGCGCTTGCAGCAGGGAGTGACTTGGATGTGAAAAGCAGCAGAAGAAAACGAAGGGCAAAACCTCATTCTCACAAGAAGGACATTCACCCACTAAATCATCTAATCACCTCCTAGGGACCCTACCACCACTCAGCACAAGAGAGCAAGCCCAAATTTAAATTTAGTGGGGATAAATAAACCACGTGTGAACTACAGCCAAGGCCGAGGTTAGAGCTGGGAGAACCCACCTACTCCCAGCACTTCAATGGCCTTCGTTCACTCCCCAGCACCTAAAGTCAAACCACAGTGATGGGGATGGCCATAAGCATTCAGTATCAGTAACCAGTAAAAAGCATCAGGACTTACTTCAGTATGATAGAAGGCATTGGAATTTCAAAGAACTGTTCTCGAATGGGCACAAAGGGCAAGAGGCCAGTGAAGAAAAGGCCAAGGATGAGTAGGACACGCTGTAGGCTGAAGAGTATAGGGATATCTGAATTCTAAAACACAAACAACGTCTTATGTTACTTTAATAAGCAGGATCATTTTACAAACCTCAGAATATATTTCCCAGACTATATGTTGACACTCTTTCAAACATTCTCTGAATTATGAACATTCATTACAATAACAACTCAGAAATTAGCCAGCCCATAATCAGATAGATGCTTTTGTAACACATGGGTCTCTTGGTTATTGTATGAACAACTAGAGACTAGGAGAAACACCAAAACAACAGCAAAAGAGAGATGATACACGAAATATCTGGTAATCTGACTCCTGCTAAAAATAGCTCACCAGGCAGTGGTGGTGCACACCTTTGATCCCAACATGGAGGAGGCAGAGGCAGGTGGATCTCTGTGAGTTCCAGGCCAGCCTGGTCTACAGAGTGAATTCCAGGGCATCCAGAGCTACATAGACAAACAAAAACAAAAACAAAAACCAAACAAAAGAGTACCTAGAGTGCAAACAGGCACATCGGTACTGTTGCGAATACATCCCTGTTCTGGTCTTTTGTGGATCAAATACAGAACACAGAGTGTGACAGTGCACACCTACACTCCCAGAGCATGGGTGGCCGAGGCAAAGCGACCTCAAGTTTGAGGACAGCCTGGGCTACATAATGAGACCCCCGTTGTAAAATGAATGAATGAATAGAATTTTGTAAATTAGAGCAAGAATCTAATTCTCAGAAATAACTATAGACTCACAGAAAGTTATAAAAATAGTGTGATATATACTTGACATGAGGCTGGACTAGAGGATCAAAGCCAGTTGACACCGATGCATTACTGCTGATTAGATGACAGGCATTATTCAGCTTGCATCATGTTTCCTGTGTGTCATCATTTTAACCTGTTTCTATCTGTGTGTGTATGTGTATGTGCATGTGTTTAAATTCTGTTCCATCCATGTACAAACTCTATAACCACCACAAATAAGATAGAGAATATCCTATTAATACTGTGACCACTCCCTACTCCCTTCAATCCTTGTCTCCTGGCAGCCACCAATCTGAAATTCACATCTACAGTTTTGAGAATGTTATAAATGGAACCACACAGCATATAATCTCTTTTAAAAGGTTTTATTTATTCATTTCTAATTCTGTGTGTGTGTGTGTGTGTGTGTGTGTGTGTGTGTGTGTGTGTGTGTATGCATACATGTTTGTGGTGGCAATACTTGTGTCTGTGTTTGGAGGTTGACCTCTTGTCTATGATAGGGATGCTGGGACTCAAACTAGGGCTTCGAGCTTGAGCAACAAGTGAGCCATCCCTCTGGCCCCAGCATGTAACTTTTAAAAATTTATATTTATTTAGGGTGGGGGTGCACGTGTAGTGGCCAGAGGACAACTTGCAGAAGGTAGTCAATTCTCTCTTCCCACAGTTTGGGCCCTGGGGGTTGAACTCAGGTCATTAGGCCATAAGAGCTTTTACCTGCTGAGTCATCTTCCACCCCATCAGTATGTAACATTTTGAGTGCATGTGTGCATATCTGCGTGTTTGAATCCGAGGCTTTTGAGTATTGCTAGGGACGTGTTCTTCCACTGAGCTACAGTCCCATACCTCTTTTTACTTTTTATTTTGAAACAGGATCTTGCTAAGTTTCCCAGGCTGGCCTTGAATTTACTCTGTAGCCCAAGTTTACCTTGATGTTCTGATCCTCCTGCCTTAGCCTCCAGGGTAGCTGGGGTTACAGGCCTGCATGGCAAGCCTGGGTTAAGGTTGAGTTTTTAGTTTTTCTTACAATAATTTTTTTTGAGACATGGTCTCTCTGTGTAGACCAGGCTGACCTCAAACTGAACACTGCCTGCCTCCATCTCTTGAGCACTGAGATTAAAGGCATGTTACCTCGTTAGCTTTATTTTTATTTTTGTGTATATGCATGCTGTGCACGTGGGTGCTCATGCCACGGTTTACAAATGGCAATCAGAGGACGACTCTGTGTGTCTGTTTCCTCCTTCTACCTTTGCATGGGCCTGGGGATAAATGACTAGGATGAAATTGCTGGTTCATAACGGTAACTGTGCATTTAGTTGTATTTAAAGCAAACCCTCTCCAACTGCTTTAGAAAGTGGTGGTACATTCTCCCACCAGCCACTGAAGACAGACCCAGCTCCCTGGCATTTGTATAACCACTTTCTTATGTGATGATGTAAAAATGGTAGCAGGTCCAGAGAGGCCTCCAGTACATTCTCTCCCTGTGGTGGTAACTCCTTAAAATGTCATTAGACAATGGCCAGCTGTGGGGGGAAAAAAAAAAAAAAAAAAAAAAAAAAAAAAAAAAGATCTACTTTTAAGTTCTTAAGACCTGAAGCTGTATGGTCAACCAATGAGCTCTGTGGTCTCCTTTGTTCACAGTCGACCTTGGGCCCTCACAACCCAGAGCATATAAAGGATACTTACTCAGCCTGGTGGGGCCACAGCTGTACCCTGAGGTGACATGCTAGGCCCTGAATGTTTTTGTTTTTTTCCTGCGGAGAAGGAAGGACTGTCCTAAAAGAGTTCTTTGTGTCTACCTGAGAATTTCTACTTGTGTCATGATATATTCCCCTACACTTTGATACTATTTGTATCCTAAAAAAAGGGGCCTCAGACTTAGGATATAACTCAGTGGAGGCGTGGTATGGACCAGCAAATGTGTCAGGCTTGGTTGAATCCCTGGCACCACAAGTAAATAAATTAATTGTATAAATAAAAATAAAAAGGAATCCTCAGTTCTTAAGACCTTTTTTTTTTTTTTTTTTTGGCATTTGAATTCCAAGTTCTTTGAGCTCATGAAAGTTGCTGGAGGAAATGTGGAAAATCATTTCAAAAACAAAGCAAAGTTTTACAGACACATTTCCAACCACAAGGAAATCTTCAGAGGGTGAATGTCCTGCTGTATGTACCATGCAACACTCATCACCTTGGCTTGAGTTATGTGTGGGAGAGCAAAAAACAACTTGGAAAACAAAATAATTTTGAAATTATCCACACAGAAATTTAATGTGCCAATAAAATAGACATTACAACCCAAAGATTATCTTTTTTTCTTCCTTTGGTTTTTCGAGACAGGGTTTCTCTGTGTAGCTTTGGAGCCTATCCTGGCACTCGCCTGGAGACCTGGCTGGCCTCGAACTCACAGAGATCTGCCTGCCTCTGCCTCCCAATTGCTGGGATTAAAGGCGTGTGCCACCAACACCCGGCAAGATTATCTTTCATGTGTAGTGCATACAACATTGACAGACAAATCTTAGTAGCATGTAACACAGTTCCTCAAACCAGTCTGATTACAACTGTCAATTTCTAAGATGGAAATTTCCTCAACCTCCTGACATGAGACAAAAGCCTGGCAGCCTTTGTCACCCACCAGCAGGCCCCCTGCAGATGGACTAGCTCAAAAAATTCAAGGCCTGATTGGGACATGTCACACAACAGTTTAGGCCCGATCAACCATCCTGTCTGTCTTCAAACTGACCAACTCTAAAGTAGGGGACTGACTCCTTGAAGGCTTTAAAACCCCCAAGCCTTGAGAAACACTGGATCTTCAGCTTTGTGAGCCCCTCCACCTCGACTATGCAGAGCATCTTTTTCTCTGCACACCTACTGTGTGCATGCTTCCTCACCCCCAATAAACACCTTTCTTTAAGTGATGAATCTGTCTTGTTCCCTGGCTACCTGTGGCGCTTCAGGTATTTTCTGTTGTTTTGTTGTTGTTTGTTTGTTTGTTTGTCTGTGGTTTTTTTTGTTTTTTTGAGACAGGGTTTCTCTGTGGCTTTGGAGGCTGTCCTGGAACTAGCTCTTGTAGACCAGGCTGGTCTCGAACTCACAGAGATCTGCCTGCCTTGCTGGGATTAAAGGCGTGCACCACCAATGCCCAGCCTGTTTTTTAATTCTTTAACAGGCAGAGAAAATGAACCCAATCAAGACCCCTAGACCACATTACAACAAACTTAAGCTGCTAGAGGCAGTCCGTCATCTCTATGAGCAACTTCTGTCTCGTTCCTTGCATTTGCACATGAGCTATAAGATAGATGAGTGGGTTTAGCGAACTCCTGCTATAGTGAGTCATACAAACATAGAGGCAGCATCCCGGGTGTTTCTGAAGCTTACCTCTTTGAAACATTTTTCTACAATTTCAGAGCTGGCATTGCCCCACACCGTTAGGTGCTCTCTCTTATACTGCTTCACCAATTCTGAGACCTACGTGTGAAAATTCAAAATTTTATGAATAAGCCTGTAAGTAAATCCACCTGTACTGTTTTACTTTGAAAATGGGTGACAATCAATTATCTGCCAATAGATAGCATAAAAACTGTGGAAAAGCTGGTAAGTAAATAGAGATTATTTTATGAAATGTGAGATTATTTACATTTACCACTCTAAAATGCATTCGACCATGACTACTCAATAATTCATAAAATTAGAATCTGACTACTTAGTAACCAACCACGAATGAAACAACTTAAAACTAGTAGTCAATTATAGCAATGTCAGGATGACTACAGCCTGAGAAAGCTCACTTTTTATCCAGGACCAGGATAAGCTAACTTGCTCTGGAAATAGAACATAGGAACATTTTCTACGGTGACCTTTATGGAGCATTACTTTAAACAATGCTGAGTCTCAGTGTATCTGGTTTCCTTGATCACTATCAGTCTCTCACCCATTTCAGCCTTGTTTAGTTTTTGAAATCAAATGACGCTGATCCCCAGAATATGGCACTTCCTCCCACACTATCAATCTGTCACCTACCCTGACCTTACTGAGGCAATGACCCACATACCTTCCGAATTAGCACATTGTTGTTGACTTTGATATCGATGTTAATGGGGGTCTCAGGAAAGGCTTCAAACACTTCCTTTAGCAATGGAATTCGGGTATCTTTTCCTTCACTCTTGCTTGCTGAGGAAAATAAGATTTTTAAAAGGTAACTTGCATTCTTAAAGGATTTAACTTTTACTTCTTTATAGTACATGTGCATTACAGGGCAATGGTAGAAAGGAAAGTCACATGAAATGCAGTGACTCAGACATGCCATCATGAGGGCTTCATCGTTTCCTTCTTTCCCTGTGCATTCTTTGACACGGCTACAATACAGTTGTGCCCTTTGGGTTTTAGCCTGTTATTTTTATGTCCATAAAAATCTTTTATGTTATACATTTATAATTTTGATTTCAATTTATCTTATTTTTGTTCTTGCTTTTCAAGACAAGGTTTTTCGGTTAGCCCTGGCTGTCCTGGAGCTCACTCTGTAGACCAGGCTGACTTCAAATTCTCAGAGATCTGCCTGCTCTGTCTCAAGTGCTGAGAATAAAGGCATATGCTGCCATGCCCAACTGTGATTTCAAGATTTTTAGGTTTTCAAGATAACTAGAGTCGCATGAAGATTGTAAGAAATAATACACAGACCTATGCATTCTTTGTCCAGATTTCCCAATGGCAACATCTTGAAAAAACACATACCATATCACACTCAAAATACTGACATTGACATAACCCACTGATACTATTTTCTCACGGGTTTATTTCTTGACTTTTGTTTTTATGCTGCTTGGGATAAATCCAGGGTCTCACACATTATAGGTGGCATTCTACCACTGAGCCACATATATTCTACTGGTTTTTAAATTTTTCTTTGTTTTTGGTTTTTGAGACAGTATCTCATGTAGCCCACCAAGGCCTTGAATTCACTACACAGGGGTAGCTGGCCTTGAATGACTGATCCTTCTGCCTCCACCTCCCAAGGGTTAGGATTACACACATATGTGACTTCATTCAGCCAGCCATTTATATTATGAAGATGTTTAAAGGTTTCAAAATATTCCACTGAGTAGCTATGCAACTCTCTATGTAAACCAGGCTGGACTTAAACTCAAGAGATCTGCCTGTTTCTGCGTCCCTAGTACTGGGATTAAAGATGTGTGCTACCATGCCCAGCTAATTATCTTAATTTAACCATTCATTAGTTGAGACTGTTTTGTTATGAGATTATCATTGAAGTTTTTAGAGACATGAGATTAATTTTCAGGCAAAACAAGTACACTAATCCAAAAACTTGTTTAATTATTTAAAAGTAAAATTTTAAAGAAAGACTTATTTATGGAGATGGAGAGATGGCTAGCGCAGCAGTTAAGAGCACATACAGTTCTTCCAAAGGACTAGAATTCAGTTCCTGGTACCCACATTGGGTGACTTACACTACCTGTAACTTCAGCTCCATGTACTCATGTGCATATGTTTACACAACACACACTTAAAAATAATACAAATAAATATTTTTAAAGACGTATTCAGGGACTGAAGAGACTGCTCAGCAGTTAAGAGCACTGGCTGCTCATTCCAGAGGATCCAGGGTCTAATTCCCAGCACCCACATGGAAGCTCACACCTGTCTGTAACTCCAGTTCCAGGGCTTGTGACACCCTCACACAGACTTACATGCAAGCAAAAAACAAACAAACAAAAATGAACATAAAATAAAATTTTAAAAAGATGTATTCATTTTATTTTATGTATATGGGCATTTTGCCTGCATGTTTGTATGTACACCAAGTGTGTGCCTGGTGCCCACGAAGGCCAGAAGACGCTGTATGATACACTGGAACTGGAGTTATGGATGGTTTGTAGTCATCATATGGGTGCTGGGAACGGAATCTGCAAGAGCAGCAAACTATCTCTCCAGCCCATATCTGTCAAATTAGTTGCCACCAGTTAGCCAAGGGAAATCAGGGAGGTTTGTCAGAAGAAACAGAAAAAGGCAAATGAGAAGGAGGAACCTGCAGCTTTGTGTCTAACCCTCTTGCCCTTTGCCTCTGTGCCTGGAGCCAGTCCCCACTGTTTTTATGCTGTTTTTATGGGTGAATAGTGCTCACAGGTCCCAGCACCAATCCTTTCCCTGATTGCAGTGGGTCCCTTTTGTACTTTGTCCCCTTCAAGTAACCACCCCCACCCTCCCAGGCACTCTTGGGGGGAGATGTGGGGGTTAGCCCTCCCCTGTGTTTTTATTCCTGTGAGGCACACTCCAAAGTAGCTTTGTAATTTTTTTTAAAAATGACTTTTAGATGTACTCTTTATGTGTACTAGTGTTTTTCCTGCATATGTACATGCTCCACATGCATGTCCAGTGCCCTTGGAGGTCATAGGCTACCTGACCTTCTGAAACTGGAGTTACAGACAATTGCAAGCCACCAAATAGAACTCTGGTCTTCTTCATGGGCACCATGAAGCTAAGCCATCTCTTCAGCCCCTCAGCTGTTTTTTGTTTTGTTTTGTTTTTTAAATTCAGTTTCTCAGTTGTGCTAGTCATATCTCAAATTCAACAAACATGTGTGGCTATTGGCTGTCTCATATCACAACACAGAAATACAGAATGTTCCAGTCACTGCAGAAGTTCTATTTGGACAGCGATATTCTAGTTTGGTAAAATAACTGTTTTCTTCTAATTATGGAAAACCCACATTCAAATGAATTGCTATCATATCTAAGTAAGATATAATCAAGGGACACGGAAAATGGTCCAACAGACAAAACTAACTTTAGACAAACAAATGATACACAGAGCTAGACATCATGCACATCCCAGCACTCAGGGGACTGAGGGAGGAAGATCTTGTTTCAAGTAAGTCTGGGCTGTACAGAGAAACCAAAAAGCCAGGAGCCGGTGAAATGGCCCAGCAGGGTTTAAAACCTTGGCTGGTTGCTTGCTATGTAGACCAGGCTCAGAGACCAACCTACCTCTTCCTGGCCCAAACTTTCAATATTCTAAAATTAATTATGAGTCAAATGCAATGTAAATAAAAGGTTTTTTTTTTGTTTTGGGTTTGTTTGTTTGTTTTTCTTGATGTTGGCGGACCAACTCTTTAATCCCAGCACCAAGGAGGCAGAGACAAGTGAATCTCTATGAGTCTGAAGCCAACCTGGATTGGACAAGTAAGACCTTGTCTCAATTTTTTTTTTTTTAACACCAGGCAGTGGTGGCACAAACCTTTATTAATCCCAGCACTTGGGAGGCAGAGGCAGGTGGATCTCTGTGAGTTCACCTTATCTACAGTTCCAGGAACAGTCAAAGCTACACAGAGAAACCCTGTCTGGAAAAATGAAAAAAAAAAAAAAAGAAAGAAACAAAAAACAAAATAACAACAACAAAAAATCTTCACAGTTGTCTGAAACCGGAGTAACTGCCATTATTTTCTGACAAGTCAGGGGGACTGCTCAGAGGGAGAGGACAGTCTATTTGAGCACTGGCCAGGTAAGGTGGAAACAGTATCACATTCTAGCTCAGTCATTTACTTGTTACATGACCTTGATCAAGTTAATCTCCTCTGTGACTTTAGTTTCCTTCTCTGTAGGGGAGAGGTTTAGATGGCCTTAGAGGTCTCTCCTCATTCACAACTTCAAGACTTTATGAGGAGACAAAAAATCAGAGACAAAATGAAAGGTTCTTTTTATTTATTTATTTATTTATTTATTTATTTATTTATTTATTTTTTCAGAACAGGGTCTCATGTAATTCAGGCTGGTCTCCAACTCACTAGGTAGCCATGGATAGCACTGAATTTGTGGTCTTCCTCCTCCCACTCCCAGTGCTGGGATTATAAACCTGTATCCTTACACTGAGTTCATTCAGTGCTGGGCAAGCGCTCTACAGGCTGAGTGAAATTCTTAGTCAAAAAGGGTTTTGTTTTGTTGTTTTGTTTTGTTTTTTTGTCTTTAAAAGAATCTTTTAAGGCATGTGGAGACTTGCCAGGGGTCATGGTGCACACCTTTAATTCCAGCACTCCAGAGGCAGAGGCAGAGGCAGGTGAAACTGTGAGTGTGCAAATGCCTGGTCTACATAGTGAGTTCCAGGCCAGATGATAATGATAATGATTATAATAATAATAAATTCAGGGGGTTGGCTGTGCTCTATAGAGGAAAAGAATAGTGAAAACATTCAAATTCATTTTCAGCACTTAAAACTGAACAGAGCTGCTGGGCTTGGTGGCCCAGCCTAATCTACAGAGGAAGTTCCAGGAGCTGTTACACAGAGAAACCCTGTCTCACACACACACACACACACACACACACACACACACACACACACTTAGGTGAAGACAAATCCAACACACATTAGCTTGAAACATGCCTGCCAAACAGATGACTTTCATTTTTATTTGATTATTATTTTTTAATCTATCTGTATGTTGGTGTGTCTGTGTGCACCTGTGTGTTTCTGTGGGTACTGAAGGAGGCAGAAGAGGCATTAAATCCCCTGAAGCTAGAGGCAAGCAGCTATGAGCAAATCAATGTGAGTGTTGGGACCCAAACTCAGTTCCTCTTGGAGGAACAGCAATCACTCTTAACCACTAAGCTATCTCTCCAGGCCTTTATTTTTATTTTTTGAAAAAGGCAGCCCTAGCTGGCCTAGAATTCACAGAGATCTGCCTGCCTCAGCTTCCCAAGTGCTGGGATACCTCCCCATATCCAGTGCCTTTTCATTATTTTCCCTGACTTTTATTTACCTTTCTTTCTTTTCTCCCCTGAGCCTACCCTTTGGTGTTTAATCTAAAGAATATTTTAAAATTTAAATTTATGCACGTGTGAATGCCTGAGTGTGTGTGTGTGTGTGTGTGTGTGTGTGTGTGTGTGTGTGTGTACACACATTTGTGCAAGAGTCTTTGGAAGTCAGAAGAGGGCATCATATCCTCTGGAATTGGCATTGTAAGCAACCATGTGGGTGCTAGGAACTGAACCCAGGTTCTCTGCAAGAGCTTCAAGGACTCTTAATTGCTGAGCCATATCTCCAGCCCCAACCTTTGTTAAAGTTAAGAGAAGTCTCACTTTGTACTCCAATCTGGCCTTGTATTTGTGGCGATCCTCCTGCCTCAACCTCCGGTTCTGGGATTACAGGTAACAACCATCACACCAGGCCTTCAATTCTAGCCCAACAAGTAGTCTACCACTGAGTTACATCTCCAGCCCGATACTGGGTAATTGAAAATCTATCTCATGTGGTATTCACAGTATTTTAAAAATGGATATGAGGGCTGGAGAGATGGCTCAGAGGTTAAGAGCACTGACTGCTCTTCCTGAGGTCTTGAGTTCAATTCCCAGCAACCACATGGTGGCTCACAACCATCCGTTATGAGATCTGGTGCCCTCTTCTGGTGGCACCATGGAAGCAGAATGTTGTATACATAATAAATAAATAAAATCTTTTAAAAAAATGGATATGAATAAATTCCTTAGAGCCTGTGAGATGGGCTCAGTGGGTAGAAGTGTCTGCCACCAAGCCTGATGGCCTGAGTTCAATACCTACATGATGAAAGGAGAGAGTCAACTCGCACAGGTTATCTTCAGATCTCCAAATGTACATCATGACAAGCTTATACACAAACACACACACACACACACAAATTAATAAGATTTAAAAATCTCTCATAATAACAGGGTGACTCACAGCCTATATATAGATCACATACAATATATTTAAATGATATAACTGACAAGGAGTTAATATTCACAGTATAAAGGGACTCCAAAGCTGGGCCTGGTGAAGCAGAGAGGAAAGGAAGATCTTCAGTTTGAGGCTGGTTTTGGCTACACAGTGAATCCCAGGTCAACCTGGGTTACATAGCAAGACTGTCTCTGTGGGCTGTTGAGTGACTCTATGGGCAAAGGCAATTACCACTAAACCTGATGACCTGAGTTTGAACCCCAGAACCCACAAGGTGCCAAGGAAGAACCAAACAACTTCTTCAATTGTCCTCTCAAGTCTACAAGCTCACCATGGCACAGATTCATGAGTGGGTCCACCGACATAAATACACAAACATACATAAACAAATGCCACTTAAAAATTTTAAACAAATGTATCAGCTAAATGACAGCATCAAATGTCCCAGAACCAGGAAGATCTACAAGAGGCCATTTATATTCTTTCTTTCTTTCTTTCTTTCTTTCTTTCTTTCTTTCTTTCTTTCTTCCTTCCTTTCTTTCTTTCTTTCTATCTTTATATTTATAATGGACAATATAAGTAATAGCAATGCTATAAAACTTGATGCCTTAGACG